ATTGAAAACAGGACAAAACTAGTTAGTTTATTATTTTATTATTATTATTATTATTCTAACATCTCAGAGATGAGCTTTTTTGAATAAAGGGTTGTAAATAAATGCTTTTCTTGGCTTTTTTTATCCGATTAATTGAAAATTTTTTTCCTGCGTACCAGGGGCCTCATGTACGAAGACTTGCGTGGAAATCTTACTAAAACATTGCGTACGCACAAAGCTGTAAATGTGGGTACGCAGAAAAAAATTCAGATGTATGAAACACTGCGTACGCCGAATCTCACGCATATTCTTTTGTACATCCGAATGAACGTGAAACTGAGCGCAACATGCACGAGCACAAAACCCCTCCCTGCCTCCTCCCCCGAGTGGGAGAGTTTAGCTGATACGGTTAACACAGTTGGGTCTGAACATCGCACTGAGTGCATTTAAAAAAGAAATAGTGTGGTTTATAACTGAAAAATGTTGTAGTACCCTTAACAGTGTCAGTGGCGCACCTCATAAGAAGCATGTGATCATGTACTGACACGTTCGAGCATAAACTCGGCTCGAATCCAGAGTCTGATGAACTTTTTCTTCTTTTTTTCCCCGCTACATATCAGATTTTGCCAACTATTTATCACGAGAAAGACAAGTATGAATCATTATTAAGTTTGTGCATCATATTTTATTTGCACATTTATTGAATGGAAATGTTTCTGATTCACGCATGCAAATTCATCTTCAGATAGTGTCTTTATAGCAATGTGTGTGCGGTAGATCGCTCAGATTACATTGGGAAAACAGGCGACCGCTGCAAATTGTGCTTTAATGTTTGGCTGGTCAACTGTATGGTATGGAAATCTTACATACCTACTATATGAACCCGTCTCATACAGCTGCCATTGCAAGGCTCAGACACTTTGTAGAGTGCAATTTAACACAACTGCCTCTAGGAGTCGCCAATGGAAATAAAACAGACACGCACAAAAAATGTGCGTACGCCAGCCAGAAAGCTGCCGTGAACCTGCGCACATTCCCACGTTCAGTTCATTGTTAGTAAATCCAAACGTGAGCAATTCTGAGCGTGAAACTTGGCGTACGCAAAGTTTTTGTGCGTACGCAGCGTTGATACATGAGGCCCCAGATCATTGGTTGTGAGCAATGAGCAATTTAATCTAATGATGTGAAGCTCCACAAGCTCCAAACCAAGCCAGCCAGTAATGAGGAACGAACTTCACCAATTGACGAAAGTATAGGAAAAAATGCAGAGAGAAACCAGGATCAGTTAGGCATGATCATTTCTCCTCTGGCCAAATCTCTTGTGCAGAGCTGGAGAATGCTGGACGTCCATCATTGAGAAGCTGCAGGTGTCCCTCATTTGAAGGAAGAACGAATGGTAAAATGTACACAGAAAGTAATGATAAAAATCTGCTTCAATTAGGATGAAACCAAGATGGTGATTTCAATTAGACAAAGATCCCAATTACAGCAAAAACGACTCAACTGGTTTTGGAAAAAGAAAATGAAGCTCCTAGTATGGCCCAGCCAATCAATGAACTTCTTCTGAAGATCAGAGTTTATAGAGCATGCCCACAGAACCTTCACCGTTTAAAAGCAAGAGTCTCAAACTCAATTCCTGGAGGGCCACAGCTCTGTACAGTTTAGCTCTAACACACACACACACACACACACACTTAATAGTTTCTAGTAGTCTTGAACAGCTTGATTAATTTGAACAGGTGTCCTCACTTTGCTGACTCATGACTGTGCACCATCTCACAACTCCAATCTTTTTATCAAGTTTGCGGATGACACAACTGTGGTGGGTCTCATCAACAAAAGCAATGAGACAAACTACAGAAGCGAGGTGAGCCGTCTGGCCGAGTGGTGAACAGACAACAATCTCTTTCTGAATGTAGAGAAGACAACGGAGATTGTTGTAGACTTCAGGAAAGCGCACACTCTGAATCCTCCTCTGACCATCAATGGTGCGTGTGTGGAGTGTATGAGCAGCACCAAGTTCCTTGGTATTCACATCACTGAGGATCTCTCCTGGACTAAAAACTCCACTGCACTTGCCAAAAAATCACAGCAGCGTCTCTACTTCCTCCGCAAACTTAAAAGAGCAAGAGCACCAGCCCCAATCATGTACACCTTCTACAGAGGCACTATTGAGAGCATCATGATCAGCTGCATCACTGTGTGGTTTGGAGCCTGCAATGGATCCTGCAGGAAAACTCTTCAGCGCATAGTGAGAACAGCTGAGGAGAACATTGGTGTCCCTCTCCCCTCCCTCCCCTCATTTACAGCACCCGTCTCACCTGAAAAGCCCTCTGCATAACAGCAGATCTCACCCACCCATTGCACAGCTTCTTCAGCTTCATACATCAGGCTGTCAGGAAGCGGAACTCTCTCCCAGCTCTGCCACCCCTCCCCTCTCCCTCCCCATGCACCTTTGGACTCTGACACTTAAAAAAACACACACATGCACACACACACACTTTATGCAACATTGGACTACCAGTTAGACACACCCTACTACCTCCCTCCCTATATATTATGACACTGCCACTTTATCATATTTATCATGCTTACAAGCCATTTTGCACTATATACTGTTCTATTTCTGCACAACTCTGGTTTGCACTCATTGCCATTTTGTCACCTTAAGGTTCTATCTGACATTTATGTCAAAATTGATTTATTGACATATTCTTATTAAATGACAACTTATTTACATTATGGGATGTTTTTTTGTACATTGTTTACATTTTAAGACTTTTTATTTTAAAAAAATAAATAAATGTTACCCACATACTGTTTGCTATATGGAATGCAAAAGCTTTAAAGCTCAATATCTCAAAATCATTCAGAACGCAGAGAGAACCTTATAATTCTAAGGTGACAATATGCCCTTACTGTCATTGTATTGTTTACAAATTTGTATTCTTTATGTATATTTTTAGACCACATTTTATGTACAATTATGTTTTTTTCTTTCTTAAAACTCAATAAAACTTAATATTATATGTTAGGCACCTAGAGTCTAAGTGTAACGTAATTTTGATTCTCTAAATGTCCTGTACATGTGGCTAAATTGACAATAATGTTGACTTTGATATTTAAACGGTTGGAGTGCAGAGCTGCGGCACTCCAGGAATCCAATTTGACACCTGTGATTTAAAGGCTGTTTGTGTGGAAGAACAGCCCAAAATCACAGCTAAGTAATGCATGTGACTAATGTCTCATTTTAAAGTGTCTTGAAGCTGCTATTGCAAACAAAGGCTTTTGTACAAAGTATTATATTTCTGTAAGTGTATTCAATACTTTTTCCATTTCATTTTATAACACAATTTAATTTGTGAACGGATTCAGGTTTTATTTTTTGCATGTATGAGCTACTTTGGTTTCAAGTCAACATTGTATATTGACCTGCTGAATGCTAAACACAAAAGAAGATATTTGGAAGAATGTAAACAACCAGATCACACCACCAGTTCACTGCTTTTTTTTAAACTATGGCAGTAAATGGGTGATCAGATATTATGAACATCCTCCAGTATATCATTCTTTGTGTTCAGCAGAATAAATAATTTTTTACATTTTTTATTGCAGGGCTGAATCAACCTGAGGGTTGTTTACTGAGAACTGCCTACTGACAGCACACTGCTTTTTATTTGATAACTGGATTTCACTCTTATTTTTGTGAAAAGTTAACTCAATGAAACAGTCATTAACAAAATTACTACAAATAGTAGTACTAATACTACTACTACTACTACCAGTAACCGTAAGAAGTATGTATTAAAATGCAAAGACACTTTTAATTAACTGTCCAACTGATGTATATAACTGAACAGACTTGTCTCACAATAACAACAAAAAAAACTTGTGTGAAGAATATTGTGCCAATAATACTGGCCATGGTTAATTAAACAAGGCTATTTTTAGACTAGAATAAATAACGATCACGCTATTTGTTTTTGTTTTTGTTTTGTTTAACTCTTTGTCTCTATGAAATTTCATGATAGTGAAACACAAATTTCTCACTCTTCCAATTACAAGACATCTACAGGAGTGCAGGAATCAAATATTCACAATTTTAATACAGCAATTTTATATCATAACAGTTATCCACCTATTAAATTGATGTGTATGCAAAACAGACATTTCTTACTGCAATGTTTTATTTTTGTTTGAGGCAAACCATAGATTTATTTTTCATAAAGTAACAGCAGGACTTTATAAAGATAACTCCCATTCAAGCACATTCAGAGCAGCATGACAAAGAGAAATGTAATTCATTGTTAGTATTATTGTCATCGTCACTATTGATATTTTAAAACTATTAGACATTGATTTTGCAATTATTGCACAAATATCAATAAGTCATCACAGCCTTACTTAGATAGTTGTTTCTGATTTGTGTTAGTCCTGATTGTTGTTTTCATATACAATAAATATGTTATTATACAATTTGCAGTGGTGCTCACTCATTTTTGGTTGGTGCTCCTACATTTTTTTAAGTGCGACCAAGTAAAAGAGTTCATTTCGAGCCCTGACATGCTTTTCAGCTCTGTCTTACACTCTCACTCAGCCTAAATAAAAGTCAACGTAGATTACATAAAATGTTCTATCAAATATGTAGACAGCATAAACAGGCAGTTGTGAAAGGAAACCAGACACGATGAGATGAGCTATAGTTAAATCAGCTGTAAGCATTTGGAAAAACAGTAAGGGATCAACTGTGATAAAATTAACAGTCTGTATCAGTAATCAGTAAGATTATCAATGTAATCAATGTACAGAACTGTTTTTAGAGTTTGCAAAAATGCAATGTTTAAAGCAAAATGTGCTTGTAGTTTTGCACACTGTAGATATGCGTGAATAGTTTAGTGTGTGTCAAGTACACATCTTTGTCACATAGACACACCTTGCATACAGCAATTCCTGTCTAACCTGTTCTGGAGAAGGACAAAGACAGACGGAACAAGGAGGAGGAATACAGTAAGTTTCTGAAAGTGAGCTGTCGGCTTGTTTTAAATGAGTTGTAGCTCTTTATCTTTTATTTGGAGGTCTGCAAATATTTTAAAACTGAATCAAATCGTCTGTTTCTGCTCATGCTAAGTTTGATTTAGGTTGTGTCGCTGTAAAACTCATCGCTTCTCAGTTTCCGTGCATGGATTATATGGTATGCAGGACTTCAAGTTTCATCACATCATTCACTAAGATGTAAAACTATCAAGACCCTCGATCAAGACTGAAAGGTGGGTCCATGATAATAAGATACATCTGATGTACATGTGTGCAGTTTACAGCAAGTTGTAGTAATTTGTATCTGAATAAGCCAGCGTAAGTGAAACTGAAACCAAACTCAATAAATAAACACATTTACTACATTTCAAATCTACATTTACAGTGTTTTTAATCTACACTGTAAAAATGCTGCATTCCACACAATCCCCTCATCTCATCTCAACACAAATTAATCAAGTTAACTTAATAGTGAACAATTTTAAGTTGACTGAACAAAAACAATTTAGTTGTCCCTAAAAAAAAAAAACTCAAGAACTGTTTTTCAGCTCATTTATTATAATTAGCTTGAACAAGCAGCAACAGTTTGAGTGTGATGTGTTTGTGTGTGTTGCTTTGATGTGATTTATTGTAGTGTGTCATATGACTGTATCTGCATTATGCTGAACACAGATCTCCTAAGCCTTTACATAAAGAAGAGTATACATATAAACATGAAAGCTCAACAGAAGTTTGCAATATAAAAATGTGGATTATCAGACTTTTATTTGACGCTCACTGTTGCTAATGGCCAAAGAATCTGTTATTGTCTCAGATACTACTGACGCGTCTCCAGAGCTGCCTGACTGGTCTGCTGAGGCAGAAACCTGACGACAATAATAATATATGTCCATTATTTTTATGGCATTGTGTATTAAGAAATCAGTTTTTATAAAAATGCCTATTTTAAAATTATACATAATGGTTTATTTAAATAGTTGACTGAGTTAGTTTGTGATTGGGCAGTGTTAAATTATTAAAAAGGGAATAAATCACAGAAAGAAATGAAAATAAATGAACCTGGCAGAAAATTGACAGTATTTTCAGAATAAATCTTGATTTAACAAGATTTTTAATGTAACAACAGTTTACAAATAGAGCTATTTACAAATACAAAATAGAGTGTTTAATTTTTAACTATTGATTTTTTTTAGCTAGTGTTATGAGAGTTTAACATCATCAGCCAGTGGTTGTTTCAGTGTCAGTGTCTTTAATTTGATGTGAGCAGTAATTTGAGGTAGGGCTGAGCTAATAAATTATATCATATTGAATTGCAATAAAATGTATTTAGATAATGATGATAAGCTCCAGACATTTTTACTCAGTATTGATTAGGTCAATCACATAGAGCAATATGCGACAGCTATGGCTGTGACGGTAACTGATTGTTTGTTATTGCCATGATGAGGAAGAAATCAAGCAGTATGTTGTTTAACCGCAAATATATAAACACATACATAGGCCCATATATAAGGCATATTAACATTTACTCGACGATCAATTGATTGTCGGTAACCTTTTCAATCGATGGACCTTATCAATGACCGTTTAATCGTGGACATTTAAAGAATAAGTTATGCTTTGTGCTGTGACACACACTTTACTTATTAAAATAATGATCAAGTGTATTCACATTACCAGATGTCGTCACTCTTTTGATATTTGGGATGCATTAAACCCTGTTATGCACGGATCTTGGTTATATCTGCCGGTGCTCCCAACTATTAATAGATCTCGGTTATATCCGCTTGTGCAGTCGTTAATACAAAATCAGGAAATCAAAAAGGCTACAATGATGTTTAATTATGGGTGGGTTGCACATAGATAAGATCAATCATTGATAATGCAAACTTTTAACTACCATAAAAACAGTTTAATATAGGCTGTTATTTTATTTTAGAGGAAAAAATATACATTATTTGAAACTGAATATTTCTTTTTTGTTTATAATTGTGTTAAATTAACCATTTTGTGTTTTGGCTGCGGACCCTGGAGTACTTGACCTCACCTCAAATTTTTGTTCTTCTTTATTTATTTTCTAGATAACTGATTCACAAAAAAATACATTAAAATAAGATAAAATTTTAATGTGATGTACCAAATTGTATCAAACGAAATTCATTCCAAAAATATTTTTTTCCGACAAAAATGTATAAATTGTATTATTGTGCATCCCCATTCGCTTCACAACTGTGCAATGTTTGCTTCACAGAAAATGAGGAATTAATTATGCTCCACTGCAGTTGTTGCATCAGAAAAATCTGTGATATACATTGGCTACATTTTTGTAAACTTATTTATATAAAATAGATGCTAATAAAACTAGCTTATAGAATATTTTTAAAAAGTCAACATATATGCGATTTGTTGTCTCTCATCACCGTATCCACAGCATGCGTGTCTGTTTCTAGCTTCTTTATTAAAAGACCTACATTTGACGAGCCATTTAGCAACGATATTTCTATACGGATATTTCTGTGCCAGTTTGATACTATTCATTAAACTGAGGAGCTCAGCTAATTCAAATCACTCACTCACCTGAACTAACTGCGAGTGAAACGGAGAAAATGAAGTGCAGCGCTGACGTAAAATCAGATTCTCAAGTCATAATTTTTAAAATAATGACTTGTATTAAAAATGTTGATAGAGGTTTGTGATATAAGAATTACAGTGGAGTATTATAAATATGTATTTTCCATGGAGCGATTGATTCAAGTTAGTAGCCCTGCTATGTTTACTATGTTTATTTGACGGAAGAAGAAAAAAGTATGTCAATGGTTTGGGAAAACCAAGTCTGGCAACACAACCAACAAATTCCATTACCTAAAGAAGTATTTGGGGTAATGGACCCTTTTCACAAACCTGTACTGACGCGTTTAACGGTAATCAGCATCTTAAATAATTAAAAGTTCTTAATATTTAAATAAAAATGTATACAGTTATATGAATTTATTTATGTATTATATCATCCCTGCTTCATATAAGCAGACTTTGATGAGTTGTAAAGGCAAAGGCAAACTTTTAAGTTCAATTTCATTTTACATGGACAAGTTAAATATTTAAACTGCAATCGTGTCATTTATGTCACACATATTTTTTATGCATAGTTTGTTCATTTTAATGATCGATTTGATACAAAAAAAAAAAGCAAACAAACGAGATATTGGATGCGAGTATGAACTGCTGGAAGAGTGTAGTTTTAAGGGAATTTAATACGCACACCGTATGGGGTAAAACCTTCTGCATTTCATGATGCAGGTGTCTGTGGTCCTTCACCGACTCAGTAGATGCAGAGAATAGCATCAATCTGGCGTGTGTGTATAGACCAGGGGCCTCATGTATCAACGTTGCGTACACACAAAAACTTTGCGTACGCCAGGTTTCACGCTCAGAATCGCTCACGTTTGGATTTACTAACGATGAACTGAACGTGGGAATGTGCGCAGCTCCACGCCAGCTTCATGGCTGGCGTACGCACATTTTTTGTGCGTGTCTGTTTTATTTCCATTGGCGACTCCTATAGGCAGTTGTGTTAAATTCCTCTCTACAAAGTGTCTGAGCCTTGCAATGGCAGGTGCATGAGACAGGTTCATCCAGCAGGTATATAAGGTTTCCGTACCATACAGTTGACCAGCTAAACATTAAAGCACAATTTGCAGCGGTCGCCTGTTTTCCCAATGTGATCTGAGCGATCTACCGCACACACATTGCTATAAAGACACTATCTGAAGATGAATTTGCATTCGTGAATCAGAAACATTTCCATTCAATAAATGTGCAAATAAAATATGATGCACAGACTTATTAATGATTACTACTTGTCTTTCTCGTGATAAATAGTGGTCAAAATCTGATATGTAGCGGGGAAAAAAGAGGAAAGAATTCTTTAGACGCTGGATTTCATGCTCAAACGTGTCAAAACATGTTGACATGCGCTTTACGAGCTGTGCCAGCGAGACTGTTAAGGGTATTAGTGTTGGAGCAAAACTCTGCAGGGACACCGGCCCTCGAGGATCAAGTTTGCCTATCCCTGGTATAGACTATCCTGTTGCCAAATGCGGCGAAAATCCTACATGATGGTAAAAGTTTGATTAAGGTGTTTATATGTCTGTACTGCACTTCAATAATGCATACTCCACATGTCTTAATTCTATTTCTGTTTAGTTTGATTATGACTTTAATCGGATTATTTAAAAATGGCTGTTTACATGGTCGACTCTTGATCAGAGTATTGTCTTAATCGTATTAAAATTATACTCGGTCTCTGGACTTGCTGCATCTCAGACACCAATATTTAAAAAATATATAAATAATAAATCACTTTCTGGCCATCAGATGCATGGTTATATATATTGCTATCGGGGTTTTTGAAAGCATTACAGCACTCTGTAAATGTTTATTATTACCATTTGTTGAGTCTCCCCATACAGTCTGTGCTTCCAGAGTGCTTGGACCTGGAAGCCGCTTCATGTGCCGTCACATTTAACAAGCGTTTTAGCAACATAGTTTTTCACCCCTGTAGCTGATTTAGAATAAATTAGGCTGACAATCTTGCATATCTTGAAATTAATATATTTTTTACATAAATTTAAAAGTGACCACAGACTTAAAGGGTTATTTTATCATTAGCTCACTGCTAAAGAGACAAAATTACAGCAACTGATGTAAGAATTTAAGAGAAAATAGAGCAAATAGTTTTCTTTCATCTCTAACACCACTAACTGAACAAACTGATTTTCAGAGATAAACACACCGATCTTCATCTATCTGAGTTTTGTGTGGAGTTGAAATAAGCAATACGTCTGAAATAATTATGGTCCTTTCAGTTTCATATGAATATTTATAATTTCATCCAGGGTCAAAAGTTAACACTGCAAAGCAGATGTGCCAATGGGTGGAAACGTACGGCTAAGGCAAGAAATACAGCTTCATTTTTTTAAAAAAAAGGGGAGAAGTCTGAGTTTAGATAATAAAACCTGCTCCTGACCAGGTTAGGTTCACAGAGTAAGTAACCACGGTAACTGACTCAGAGTTTAAGTTACCTCTCTTTCAGGAACAGGCTTGACTTACCCTGCTTACTCCAGTTTAACAAACCAGCCATTTTGAAACTGAAAACCCAGAGTTTCTCTCATTTCAGGGTTAAAATACTCTTGAGTTTTCAAACGGTGACAAAAACAAAGGAATAACCATCCATAATTCAAATCTATTGTGTCGGTGGACTAAATTTGCTTTATGGGATGTTGTTCTGTGGACTCTTACCTTTCAAAATAAACTGTGATGTACAGCAATGAATGCATGTGTGTGTGTTATTACGATAATATTCACTCCATGTCTAATAAGCATTTTCTGTACAATTTAGACAAATTTATCAAATACTTCCTTAATAAGATTCCCATTGAAAAACAACTAGCTGCAATGGCTTGAGGGTTGTTGCTTTAGACTGATGTATAGTTTGTCAAGATTACTTGTGTTCATTTTGGTGTAATCTATTCATGAATACTGACATGTGGAAAAACAGTGCTCCAGTGCATCCACATCCTATACCTTAACACTGACATGTGGAAAAACAGTGCTCCAGTGCATCTACGTCCTGGTTCTGGCTAAAAGTATCAATAACCATGAAGAGAGAACCCCCATTATAAACCATACCGCCAAATACAAATGTGTCAATAAATGCATCAAAACTTGCCTGAAATGCATTTGTTATTTAAACAACATGGCACGGAAGATGAAAATGACACCTGTAGAACACACATGCATTAACACACATCTATCTAATTGTACCTGACAGGAGTACTCAGACATGGGCAACAAACAGTCAAACAAATACCCCGGCTACACATTAGTAAAGAGTAACGATGAGAAGAAGATCCTGGTGAAAAATGAAAAAGGGGATCAGTTTGTGGTTAAAAAGCTCAGCACTAGACAGGTGAGAGATGAACTTACAAACTAAATATGAAGTGTACTTAAGTTACCTGAACTTACTTAAGTTTAAGATTAACTGTGATGCATGTCGGTCTGTGTTCAGGAAAAGGATGTGAACTTTCTGCTGCATCTCGATCATCCACACATCGTCCATCACAAGGAGATCATCAGAGGTACTCTATTAATAAATTAAAGTTAGCTACAGACATTTGCATTACTTTAATGACTTGACAAAGTAATGCATGAATCTCCTTCAGATGGTGATGATCTGTATCTTGTATTGGATCACTGTGAGGGTGGAGATCTTGCTGAGAAAATCAAACAAGCAACAGGCCAATTTTCTGAGAAAGAGGTAAAGCATGTTCAAAATGTAAATATATTTAATGGTAGTTTACATTTAATCAACCAGTGCAGTGCTTAAGGAGGAACTATGACATGGAAGAATATCCAAAACATTAAAGATAGAAAACAAATATTAAAATAAATGATATATTTTCAACACAGTTAAGACAATTAAGAAATGTGTTTTTTTTTTCAATTGTCCAATGACTTGCCTAATTAACCTAGTTAAGCCTTTAAATGACACTTTAAGTTGAATACTAGTATCTAGAAGAATATTTAGTCTAATATTATTTACTGTCATCATGGCAAAGATAAAATAAATCAGTTATTAGAGATGAGTTGTTAAAACTATCACATGCAGAAATGTGTTCAGAAAATCTGCTCTCAGTTAAACAACATTTAGGTAGTTTACCTCGGATATGACAGTAGCCATGTTTCCATCCAAAAATGTGAATTTAATTTATGCGCAAACTAGAAAATTGCATAAAAGACGTGCGAATGAAGCAGTGTTTCCGTCCAACCTGTCAAAGCAAACAAAATCGACATTTCCTGAATAACTGGCGCCAAATATCAACAGTAAAAACAGAATTTGATGCGTTACTCAGTTATGTGCATGTGGATTTTATGTGTATTTTCTAAATTTATGGAAAATGGGAAAGTTTCCATCAACTGGTTTTATGTGCATATACAAAATGAGCATTAAAATTGGTGGATAGAAATGTAGCTATTGAGTATGTTCTAGGGCTGGGCCGATAGACAATGCCATCGTCCATTACCTAGCATTTCTGAACAGCCCTCCATCCGCTAAAAAACACACATCACGTGATAGCACACAAACACACACACACACACAGCCAGCCACACACAGCCAGCCACACACGGTCATGCGCTCTTCTAAGCTCCAGAGAGCAGTGCATTTTGGAAAGTTTATCAAGGACTTACCACTGTATGGCGTCTCACTATATTTGTTAAAGGTAATATTTAATTAATCTTGTCTGTGTCAATTGACTCTTCAGTCATTTGAATCTATCGGGTAAAGTGGCACAGTGTCAGTACACTGCTTCAGTCTTTTGCTTTCCCACTTGTATTTAGTAATTATAGTGAAAACTGCCTTTTATTTGAAAATATTTCTGAAGTTTAAGTTTCAAAGAGGATTTTTCTACATTTTATATCAATTTGTGTGGTATTATTTAAATTTTTTGCACTGTTTTTAGTTATACTGTAAAGCTTAAATAGATTATTTTTCAGTTTGATTTGTGGCTGAACTTGTTTTGGTAAAGTGCAGTAAATAATGTTACTGTTAAATGTCTGCTTATAAGAATGTCTTATAGTAATAATGATAATACTCTAGGTAATTTTATGTATTTGTTCATGTTTTATAAATGGATAGGCCTGAAGCACACCGTAAATTAATTATGTTAATTTATAAAGGGCTAATTGTAATATATGCAACTGTTTTTACAGATACACACTCCGGTATCGCTATTCGCTATCAGTCGATAACCAGAGCTCAGGTATCGCAATTAGTATAGGGGAAAAAAAAACAGTGTATGAAAACATCCCTAATTAAATCCACTTTCTTCCACCAGTCCTTACAGCACATACTCTTTCAGTAGCTGATAGTTTGTGGCGGGGGCATGAATGTAAAGTTAGTGAATAAAAAATGTCAGAGATGGCTTGTTGCTTGAGATAATGTGTAAAACAGAAACATTCAAAAAGCAACATTTAAACAACACATCTGATTAGCATTACCTAATCTTTGTTAATGTTAACTAAACATGATTTATTGTCTATATTAATACATGGTTTAATGGTGAACAGACTTCATTCAACATTATATACTATTTGTTAATATTCCCTTACTCATATTCTAATAAATCTCTTTACATTAACAGATTAATTAATTTGTGTTTATTTATTGTTTATGCACACACACTGACACACACACACACACACACACACACACACACACACACACACATATATATATATATATATTAGGGATGTTACGATACAACATTTTTACTTCCGATACGATACCGATATTGTAGCCTTCAGTACGATCCGATACCGATATAAATCCGATATCAGCACAAATGATGAATACTTTACTTTTACCTATTTAGTTGAGTGGAATGTATGAACGGCCAGATCAAACTGAGAACAAAAGTCAGCAACAGTAAGTATGGAAACAAACAACCAATTTATTAACTTGTTGGTTGCATAAATGTGAACCTTTTGCATAAGAATATATATAAAAGAATTAAAGAATAAATATTAAGACCGAGAAAAATATCTTAATTGAATTAAAAAAAAATATTTTTAAAGTGCAAAATACTAATTAAAGGTCACTTCAGTTATTTATTTTTACCGTCAGCAAATGGTAGAAACAGCTGAGAGCAGGAACATAAGAAAAAAATGTTAACTGACCAACTGCTAAAGGTTGAGTGACTAACGTTTCAATTTCACACACAGCATCTTGATGAATTTTTAATCCAGTTTCGAGCTGAAAAATATCTTTCACACAGGGGAGCGAAAATAGGGAGTTATTGTTATAAGTTATTGTTAAATAAATATAAAAATGTGCAGTACGGTTAGTACAAACATTTACATGATCGGATCAGATATTTAATCTGTGTTTGTATCATAAGAACATTAATAATAATAATAATAATAATAATATATATTGCACATATTATCTTTAACATAAATATATTTGCAGTAGATGGATTGAAACACACCTTTTATCCACAGCACATACAATGATGTAACTTTCTTTCTTATTCTTTCTTTCTTTCTTTCTTATTCTTATTTAATAGACAATTAAAACAACAAAAATGTTTGGCATTGAACACCTTTTACATGACAGCTATAGAAAACGAAGGCAGCATGCGGGACATGTTAGGCAATTTAAAAATCCTGGCTGAATGCATTTTAAGCCTCAAATAGAGGACATGTCCGGGAAAAAGAGGATGTATTGTCACCCTAAATAATGAACTGGGTCAGTCTGTTTAGTAAAAGGCTTTTCTTCGCGTGTCCTCACGCTCATCTCAAAGCGACTACCAAAGTCAGATGTCCAGCGCGGCTCTGAAGTCTAAAGCAGCAGGGCACCCGAGTCTGTGGAGTTTCTCACGCACACAGAACCGGGCCGCTGAGGTAAAGTCTTATATGTGGGAAGCGCTGGTGTTGAATTGGATCACACATGTAAATCACACACTGGATGAACCACGATATGCCATGACCGAATTGTAACGTAAACGTTTTAAATGAGGCTCGCATGGTGTGCGGTCCGTCACCATTCAGTGCGTTGCTTAACAGCGTATACAAAACAATCTAACTTAAAGATCGCTTGACGTGAAGTAAATAAACCAGTAGAGATGTGCCGTTGTTGATCGCGTCAGCGTGTGCTATCATAACAATAGATTTCTATCTTAATACACCATAACTTAGTGTGAAGAGCATGTTAAATCTTAAAAGGACTTTGCAAGCAAGCAGTGTTGTATTCTATTCTATCGGACGCTGCTGGATAGAATAGCTGTAACGGAGTTTAAAGCGTATCGTACTGCTTATATCGGAGATTTTTAATGCAGTCCGATATGATTTTTTAGACTGATATCGGACGAATTTCCGATATCAATACCGGATCGGGACATCCCTAATATATATAATTAACAAAATATATATATATGTTTTTTTTATATATTAATTAATACAGTAGTTGATATGTTAGTTAACATGAACAAATAATGAACAGATGTTAGTAACACATTATATAGTTTTGAAAGAGTTTTTGTACACTACAATTAGGTTTATAATTCCAACTAATGCTTTGTTGATGGTAAATAATCTTAGTAAAGAGATTTCAATCATGAACAACATGCCAATTTCGGAGCAACAAAGTGAAAACCGTGTCTTTAACTTGCATGTCATTCATATAAGTATTATTAATATAATATAGTAATATTAACAAAACTTAAGTTGTTCGCCACTAAATCAACTAATGTAATAAATAACACAGTAAAATATATTTAGTAAACATTAACAAAGATTAACAGATGTGTTGTTTCAATGTTAATTCATGTTAACTAATGCGTTAACTAACATAAACTAAGTCACCCTTATTGTATACACAAAAAGGAAATGGGTAAATATAATATAAACAATAATAATAAATAACACACAAAATAAAAGAGAAAAAATCACTATACTTAAAATGATCTTCTTAAACTAAATATTTAGCAGAGATCCTGATATATTGTTGTAAATTTATGAAAAAAAAATGTGTGAAAGTTTGCACATTCTTAAAGATTTCTTAATCAGGCAGTTGTTTTTTTCTTCTTCTGCTTTTTCAATCCAACTTCAGATTTCTACATAGAAACAAACAAATCAGTCCACTAGTCCTAAATGTCAGCCTGTAGTTTCTGCTGTAAACCAAATTAATCAAAGCTGAACTTTAGTATTTCCAGATTATCAGATCCTGAAAATTTGTTTTTACTGTATGAATAATTTTTGCTATAATATATCATACTATACTTAATTTTTTTAACTGAAGAGGTGGTGTAATATATGATCCATTATCCGTGTGAATTAGAAAAAATTTTGTTTTTTAATGTCTTCTTCTTTCTTTAATGCCTTTTTCTGTTTGTTTTCTATTTTTTTTAGATTTTGGACTGGACTGTGCAGATCTGTATGGCTTTAAAACACCTGCATGATCAACAGATTCTACACAAAGACCTGCAGCCCAAAGTACAAAACAAACTCAACTTCACCCAAATTATCTTTCAATGCTACTTTTAAAGTGAAATGGTCATAAATCATTCTACATTCAACCACAAATTTATACATTTGAAGTCTGAAGAATTATTAGCCTTCCTGTTTATTTTTTTCCCCAATTTCTGTTTAATGGATAGAAGAGTTTTTAGCACGTTTCTAATCATAATAGTGTTAATAACTCATCTCTAATAACTGATTTATTTTATCTTTGTCATGATGACAGTAAATAATATTAGACTAGATATTCTTCAAGACACTTCTATACAGCTTAAAGTGACATTTAAAGGCTTCACTAGGGTAATACTAAGCAGTTAGGTTACTAAGCAGTTTAGGGTAATTAGGCAAGTTATTGACTTACGATGGTTTGTTCTGTAGACTATCCAAAAAAAAAAAAAAGCTTAAAGGGGCTAATAATATTGTCCTTAAACTGTGTTCAAAAAATTTAAATCTGCTTTCATTCTAACAAAGATAGAACAAATAAGACTTTGTCCAGAAGAAAAAAATATTATCAGACATACTGTGAACATTTCTTTGCTCTGTTAAACATCATTTGAGAAATATTTAAAAAAGAAAAAACAATTCAAATGGGGGATAATAATTCTGACTTTAACTTTATGTATATATATATATATTTTAGGCTTGGGCGGTATCCAAATTTTGATACTGTCAAACCGCCTCCATATTTTACCCCGGTATCCGGTATTACCGGCGTAATAAAAAAAAATATGACGTAAGGCTCAGACAGCGTCACCAAACTGTTGGCTTGAGCCTAAACCATTCAGAAACTGAATACCTTATATGCGACCTTAGGCTCGTGGAGAGAGAGAGAGAGAGAGAGAGAGAGAGCGCAAAGCGACGCACAGCATCTCTCTCTCTCTCTCTCTCTCTCTCTCTCTCTCTCTCTCTTACACATACACACACACACACACACACACACACACATCTCTCCTGCGATTTATTCAGAAATTTACTCCCACACCGTAAGAAATCTGGCCGGCTCCCGCGGAACAGCAGCGGGAATGCAGAGAGCTGTAATCGGGCCATAAACATTATACCCGATAGGTCCCGAGTCCGACAGGTACATTTTGATTGACAGCTTTATAAAGCCCGAACCCGTTTACAGCCTGACATTATTCAAATGTGCTCATGCACACAGCTCTATTGCATTTTTTCAAGAATGAGTCATTTATATGTTTTAACATTATTTATTCGTAACAAACATAGACTATAGGCCCCTTGAAAGTTGGAACAAAGAAATAAAATAAGTCCTACAGCTGCAACATCGTAACATCTCAGCACTCTATAGGTCTAGGTACATGCACTTAGCCTTTAAAATAGCCTACACACCAATGAAAAGTAATCTTGCTTAACAAATCAAATTAAAATAAACTCTAAATGATGACGGGTATTGGCAATAACGAAATTAAGATAAAGGCTCTGCAAGATGTTTCTCCACTTCTCTTCACAATCTGGCATTAAGGCGGCGGTGAAGCTGAATATTAAAAGAATAATGCCACCATTAGCCTGTATACTCTGTCTACATTATGATTATATGGTTTAATTAATATTCATTTATAATTTAAAAACCCTTTACTCAGCAAGATTAGGCTACGTGTGTTTGTGGAGGAACATTATTAAATCCACTGGCTTTAGCGCAGCCCTGCGCTCACGGGGTCCAGCAGCTGAACACCCTTTCCTGCGGCTACAGGCCGAGATGCAGAGTTCTGATCCGGCTGATTTTGCAAGTTTTGGGTAGGATTGTTTGTTCATCTTCTACCAGTCAGGAACATGCATTTAATTTTCCATGACAGCAGTTTCACTGTAGCGAGAGGCCTCGTCTTTTTACCTGTCAGCTTGCGGTTTAGGGCTCTACCGTAATACGCAGTGTATGAGCGACCGCGAAATACCTGCGGCTGGAATAACTTCTCCTTATGAGCTAGAGACTGGCTTGACCGCCGTCAAAATTCTCTTTTTTTACTACTTAGTCATCATTTGATTGACCTTTGCAGGGATGGATTTTAATGCAGGGATTTGGATTTTTTTCGGGTCTCGCCGGGTTCGGGCAAAGATCTTCAGCTCTAATGCAGACCTCTCGTTCATATTAACCACGTCTCCCTTCTGTTCAGTCGAAACTGCCAAACTGCAGGACACTTTGAAGCGCGACTCGTCACGTCACCTCTCCCTCTCCCCCTTCTCCCCCTCCCTCTCCCCCTTCCTTTCCCTCTCTCCTCCACACTGTCCCGTGATGACAACCACACATACGTTTTTGTAGGCATTAAATAAAGGATATTTAATATTTTTTGACGGTATAACGGTATTGAAACTGACACCGTTGCTATTTTTAGATCCCGCGGTATACCATAATACCGTAATACCGCCCAAGCCTAATATATATATATATATATATATATATATATATATATATATATATATATATATATATATATATATATATATATATATATATATATATATATATACATACAGCCACATCATACTGCTTTGAGAGTGATATTGTGTTTATACAACAGTCTATGGCAAAATCATGTATATAAAAAAGAAAATCAAACACGGAGAGTCTCAAACGTTATTTTGTATTAGAAACTACTTTCTTCCGCCATTCATTCACTTCTGTGTCAGAACAGCAGAGCCCATTGGTCATTGCTCTTTCAGCAACATCATTTTAGAGCTAGTATTTGAATGATTCTCTAGTCTAGCGTAATGTCTAAAGTGATGACAAAACAACTGATTTTGCTGTGATTTTAAGACTATAAAGCTGCTGTCACTCTAGAGTTTGTGTGTGCGGAATTCTGTCGTATGAGGCTGCAAAAAGGGGCGGGATTAAACAAGATGATTAGACATTAAAAAAGGAACTATTTTTAACTATGGTTATACAAGGACTGGCCAACACAAATACATACATTCCTGATATGCGAGTCCCATGTCACACTCAATACACTACTATTACTATAGTATAAATACAGCACTGCAACATACAAGAGAGAGAGAGAGATTGACTTAGAATGTCACTTACCTGATTTATGTTTTACGTTGACTCTTTTAAGGTCTTATTACGCACTGTCTTCACTGTGCTACAAAACAACTACATTCTTGATGAAAAAAGTACATTGTGTTGTCCAACAGCTGTGATTATTGTCAAATTGTAGTCCTCTGCCTGGCACACGTGTGGGCAGCGTAATACACAAGAGTGAAGAGGCTGTATGAGTTCTGACATTGCAGAGTATCACACAGCTATTAGCCAATCAGATTAGCCAACCTGGCAGAACTGTTATATATATAATTTGTGTGTGTATATATGTAATGGAGGCCAGCCATTACAGGGACTGTGCAGGTAAACCTCACTCCTCTGACCTCTAAAGGTGCTCTAGCGACAGACGCTAGAGGCCATGGTTTTTAGCCTTCTTGGTAGAGCAACCGACTCCCATGCGGAAGGAAGTCGGTTTGATCGAAGCTCGGAGCGGGTTGGGTGGCGTAGGACCAGTGGGGTTACATATACATATATATATATATATATATATATATATATATATATATATATATATATATATATATATTTTTTTTTTTTTTTTTTTATCATATTCAACCGTTTTTCCCAAACTTTTTCAGATGTTGCTAGGCAATTGTTGAAGTGGTATTAACTGATATTATTATATTTATTGTAATCCTCTACATTCATACTTTTTATCAAATGTGTGTTTTCTTATGGCAGAGCTTATTATTTACTGCATGTGGGACCATTCGTCTGGGAGAGTTTGATAAATGGTAATGAAATCCACAGATTCTGTTATTTTTAGTTTTAAAAAAAATCATCCATCTTGAGCAATTGATACATCTATGTCATGTTTTTTTTTCTTCTTTTTCAGGTTCACTGATGTACAGACAGCAGAAACTGAATCCCTCGCATATTTTGCACCTGAGAATTTACATGACACATCTTATTATGAGAAAAGGTAATGAACCTGATCTTCATTGTTTAATGGATGTTTTTTTTTTTCCCAATCACTGAAACACTTTTATACTGTTCAATTTCTATTGCAGTGAGATCTGGAGGCTGGGATGTATCATCTGTGAGATGTGCACACTGAAGAAGGCTGTAAGAGTTAATTTTATATATATTTTTATTTTATGCTTTAACAACATTAAGTTGTAGTAATCATAATTAATACTATTATAGCTTTATGCTGTAGCACATACCTATTTAGTATTTAGCCACATATCACAAATACATTCATTCATTCATCTTCTGCCGCTTTTCCGGGGCCGGGTCGTGGGGGCAGCAGTCTTAGGAGAGAACCCCAGACTTCCCTATCCCCAGACACATCCTCTAGCTCCTCAGGGGTAATCCTGAGGTGTTCCCAGGCCAGCCGAGAGACATAAGCCTCTTTCACACATACAGACCTTTCCGGAAAATTACCGGCAATTTTGCGGAAAGGTTGTATGTGTGAACAGGCCCTTTTTGAAAATACCGGTAAATTCGTTCTGGCTATTTTCCGGAAAGAGAAGTTGTAACATTACCGGTAATTTGCCGGAATGCTGCGCTGTGTGAACGCAGAAGGAAGATTGCCGTAATAAGCGCGTCCACGTCTAGAATGGGCTGACGTGAGACACCTGCTTTAGCCAATCACAACAGTCAGACGCATTCACGTGCGCGCGGTTTATGAGAATAAAAGCCTTTGAATATTTTTTCCAGACACCTTTAGCTGCTAGATGTTAGTCAGATAATGTTTCTATGTTCCTTCTTAATGCTGTGTAAATAATTATCGATAAAATGTTTATGATAATCCGTTGTTTGTTTACCTTCAAGCTTTGCGTGTGCCCGTGAGCGCCCATAGCGCCAGCACACACACATATCAAAGTGTTTCCCTATGTTTTCATTAGAGTTGTATTCAATACTGATCCATCCGAAGAGTTTGTAATGTAGTCAAATGTTAACAAACACAAGCGCAGCCGTTTAGAGGTCATTTCTGGTTAATGATGTCAGAATTTACCGGCACTTTGCGATGGATGTGTGAATGCTCTTTTCCGGAAAAATTCCGTAACGTCCTCGCCTGTGTGAACAGCGTTTTTTTTTATATACCGGTAAAGTAGTTCCGGAAATTTTCCGGATATTTACCAGTATCACTGTGTGAAAGGGGCTATAGTCCCTCCAGCGTGTCCTGGGTCTTCCCCGAGGCTCCCGGTGGGACATGCCTGGAACACCTTCCTAGGTAGGCGTCCAGGAGGCATCCGAAACAGATGCCTGAGCCACCTCAGCTGACTTCTCTCGATGTGGAGGAGCAGCGACTCTACTCCGAGTTCCTCCCGGGTGTCAGAGCTCCTCACCCTATCCATAAGAGTGCGCCCTGCCACCCTGAGAAGGAAACTCATTTTGGCCGCTTGTATCCGAGATCTTGTCGTTTCGGTCATGATCCAAAGCTCATGACCATAGGTGAGAGTAGGAATGTAGATTGACCGGTAAATTGAGAGCTTTGCCTTTCGGCTCAGCGCCTACTTCACCACAACGAACTGGTACATCGACCACATGACTGCTGCCGCTGCACCAATCCGCCTGTCAATCTCACGTTCCATCCTTCCCTCAATCATGAACAAAACCCCGAGATACTGGAGATGGCAAACCACCTTTTTCCGGTGGAGCACCATGGCCTCGGACTTGGAGGTGTTGATTCTCATCCCAGCCGCGTCACACTCGGCAGCAAACCGCCCTAGTGCATACTGAAGGTTCATGTCTGATGAAGCCAACAGAACAACATCATCTGCGAAAAACAGAGATGAAATCCTGTATTCCCCAAACCGGACCCCCTCCAGCCCAAGGCTGCGCCTTGAAATTCTGTCCAGAAAAGTTATGAACAGAATTGGTGACAAGAAGCAGCCCTGCCGGAGTCCAACATGCACTGGAAACAAATCTGACTTATTGCCAGCAATGCAATCCAGACCCATACTCTGTTCATAAAAGGACGAGACGGCCCTCAACAGATCGCCTCTGACCCCATACTCCCTGAGCACCCTCCACAGAATGCTGCGAGGGACACAATCGAATGCCTTCTCCAAGTCCACAAAACACATGTGGACTGGTTGAGCATACTCCCATGAACCCTCGAGCACCCTGGTGAGGGTATAGAGCTGGTCCAGTGTACCACGGCCCGGATGAAAACCGCATTGTTCCTCCCAGATCCTAGGTTCAACCATTGGCCGAATCCTCCTCTCCAGTACCCTTTCATAGACTTTCCCTGGGAGGCTGAGGAATGAGATCCCCCTATAGTTGGAGCACACCCTCCGGTCCCCCTTCTTAAAAATGGGAACCACCACCCCAGTTGCCCAGTCCAAAGGTACTGTCCCCGACATCCATGCGATGTTGTAAAGACGTGTCAGCCACGACAGCCCCACTACATCCAGGGTAAATCTCATTCACCTCCATTGCTTTGCCACTGCGGAGCTTGCAAACTACCTCAGTGACCTCAGCTTGGGTGACCCCTGCATCCCCAGTCTCTGCTTCCTCGATGAAAGACATGTTGGTGGGGTTAAGGAGACTGATAGTCTTCCTCCATGGTCTCCCCAAACTCTTCCCAGGCCAGAGTTTTTGCTTCCGCAACCGCCCGGGCTGCAGCACGCTTGGCCCGTCGATACCCATCAGCTGTCTTGGGAGTCCTGCAAGCCAACCAAGCCCTGTAGGACTCCTTCTTCAGCTAGACGGCATCCTTTACTTCCGATGTCCACCCCCGGGTTCATGAATCGCCTCCCCGACAAGCACCACAGACCTTACAACCACAGCTCCTCACGGCCGCGTTAATAATGGAGTCGGAGAACATGGACAACTCAGTCTCCATGTCTCCAGCCTCCTTCGGGATCTGGTCAAAGCTCTTCCGGAGGTGAGAATTTGAAAATCCCTCTGACTCGGGGTTCAGCAAGATGTTCCCAGAGGACCCTCACAATAAGCTTGGGCCTACCAGGTCTGTCCAGCTTTCCCCCTTGCCAGCAGATCCAACTCACTACCAGGTGGTGATCAGTTGACAACTCTGCCCCTCTCTTTACCCGAATGTCCAAGACATATGGTCGGAAATCAGATGATACAACCACAAAGTCGATCATTGACTTCCGCCCTAGGGTGTCCTGGTGCCATGTGCACTGATGGACACCCTTATGCTCGAACATGGTGCTCGTTATGGACAAACTGTGATTAGCACAGAAGTCCAAAAACAAAACACCACTCGGGTTTAGATCAGGGTTGTTGGAATTCTGTGCTAATATCACAAATAAAAAAACACAAAATTGTATAGTCATTATAAGACCAAAGGATCTTATGAGGTACATAACCATATGTAATGTCAAAATAGTGGCTAATTTGTATGAATTCATACAGTTTAATTAGACAAATGTATGATTTTTTTCATCTGTTTATTACACCTTTACAAAAATAGCAGGATAGTTGTACAGGAAATAAATTATCTAGTATATCTAGTCAGTTACCGTTGTACATTACAATGCAATTACACACTAGAATAAAAATCTAAATACATAAAAAATACAATTTTTAAAAAGCATAGTTACAGCGTCAATTATGTATAAAATGTTGGTTTGTTAAAACATAGAAATACACTATTTACAATGTACATCAAAATTATAACCAAAAATTCCAGAAACTTACACAATACACATAGTTAAATTCAATCTGCAATTGAAAAACACTAAGGCTTAGATTAGCCGCGTTTCCACTATCGCGTGTAAAGCAAGCAAGCCAGGACAAGCCAAGGCCAGTCGCATTTCACTGTCACTTCCGGGGCCAAATTGGGGCTTTCTTGGGGCCAGCGGCCGGCCTTTTTCGGCCCGCAGTATACTTTGAGCCAAAGAGGGCCAGTCGGGGCTTCGGGACGGAGTAAAAAGAGAGGCGGGGGCAGTTTTCCGAACGGACACGTACATCATACATGTGCCAAACACATAAACAAATAAATAAATAAGGGAAAGAAAATATCTGTAGAACTGTAGATGTGGAACTTTTAAATGTAAGGCTGTTGCATGAAATAATAAAGTAGTTTTAGTTTATAAGTGAATTTTCTTTGCTGCATCCTCCTTGATGTTTCAATAACGCATAATAATCTTTACACCATATTTAAGACACAATAGACAGCAAAGGTTTTCAAGAGTTTTTTAAAAGGTGTGTTAGATGCCTGTATGTGTGTGTGAGACCGAGAAAAAGAGCGCTCCCTTCACAGCTCTGTTGATGCAGCGAGCAACTTTTTTCTTTTATTTTTTATTGTTTTTATTTATTTTGGAGATAATACACTATATGAACACAACAGAAAGACATTAAACTTTAAAAATTTCGTGTCCACTTTTGTAGGCTCAAAACAATAGTGTTATATCTAGATAAAATAGCCTATTGAAATAATTTAAAGAATTACAAATATCAGATATAATAAAATCACATTAAATAAATAAACCAATATAAAACTAACAAAAGCTATAGCTGTAACAATTAGGTACTATATCCAACAGTTTTAAAGCTAAATTAAGCTTTCATTTTTCAAAAGCTTCTCTGAAAAAAAAAAGATTTTTTATATATTTTCTAAAAACAATAAACACTGGAGAATGTTTTAAAAATTATTTATAAAGTATTTGGATACGATGAAATTAATCAAATCATGCAAACAGAGCATTTTCGGGGTGATGGAACGCAGAAACTAGGCGACCTTTTTTTCTGTCTGCAGCTGCGCAGCACTTTTTTGACGCATAGGGGAAAACTGCAAGTTCAAAATGTGTTCAGTGTCCTCAAACAAGTGTGTATGTTTTTATATGACTTGGTAAAAATTAAAAAAGGAAATTTTAAATACATAAAGAGCTTTTATTAGTGCATAGCTGCTGAGCGCAACGAAATATAGGCTATATTTTATTATGTGCTGCTCTTATGTGCTGAAACACTGAACACTTTCCTTTACTTAAGATATAATAAGCAACATCTTTAAATAAAGGGTATCACCTATTAAGTGTCATAAAGCCTATAGGGAAAAATTCATGTTTCAGTTCTCTCCGGAGCATTTGGGATGAATGTTGGACAGCGTCTGTCTAGAGGATGTTATAAAATACATTTTATATCGAGTTATTAATGGAGAATTTTATATATATGGTTTTATATAATGGATGTGTGCGCTCCCTGCGCTGGGTCCCTCAGTTAGTGGCAAGACCACTGGATTTCTATGCCAACAGTGGGTCGGCGAGTAAATGAATATGATAAATGAAAACACACAGGCATGTGCATATAGACATATAATGTACTGCTGTACAGTAACTTGTCATTTGTTTGTTTTGGTTGTCCTAATTTTAATGGTTTCGTGATGATGTGATGGTGTGCTTTATCTGCATGATTCTCGCTGAAGTGGGCGGTTTGAGTGACGTTCGATTCGGGGGATGTTCTGGGGGCGGGGTTTGCATGACGCGCTGTGAGCTACTAGCCCGACAGTGGAAACGCGACATGATTTCAGCCTCATTGCTCAACCTCCCGGGCGATTGGCTTGGCCTGGCCTGCTAAAAGCCCTGGCTCGCACTGGCCCAATAGTAGAAATGCGGCTATTGACAGTTTGGAAAAAAATGTACATGCTCAGAAACAAAAATCAATCTAAACGGCTCCCATGTCTCAGAAAAAGTGCTAGAATTTAGTACTAAGAAGAAGCACTAGTATTAGACTACTTAGAACTACAAGAACCTCTTTTTTAATTAAATGAAGCACATTGCATCTTTCATCCAGTTGTCAAAAATGTAACAATTTGTTTCATAAGAATGCGTCCTCTTGCTAGCAATGTCAAAAATGCCAAAGTATTTGCAGTAAAGCTGTAAATTCACAAAAAAATGCAACCAGAGAACATTTCACTTTTAAAAGTCATTCCTTGTACAATTTCCATATTGTTCTTAGGGAGAAAGATTTACCATCTGTTCTGAGACAACAGATAAAAAATAGCGTTTTGGCTAACTCTGACACATTTGCAGCATTGTTAATTAATGCATTTCCCTGCAAAATACCAACCAACAAATAAATAAATAGATACTATGCCTACATTTACCCCTGAAACTAACCATAATTAAGTTACTGTGCTTTATATTACCCAGTACTTTCTTAGCTAAATACACTGGAAGTACACATTAGGTGCACATACTTGAAAATAGTATGGAACCTAGATATCATATGGTTTCAGATGACCATATAGCTAGCATTAAACTTATAATAACGTGAGAATTAATAATAATAATATGGTGAATTGTGATAATTGTGAGTTTATACTCTAAACAATCTAGATACTAAAAGTGCTGGGTCGTTGTAACAAATATGGACATTATAATATTTAAGATACATAAAATATATTTAATTTACACTTTTAACCCAATGTTTGGGTTTATCATATCTGAGCCAATGTTGGGTTTCAAAATCCCAGTAAATTTTCATCAAAAAATTTAAGCCAGCGTGAAGATATTTTACTGTGTGGAAAGTTTGATGAACTCTGAATTGAACAACTCAATATTTTAAAGTTCTAACAACTGTTTATTATCATTCATTTTAGTTTTCATCAGGAAACACAGATGAGATTATTAAAAAGATTTGCAGGAGCTCCTATGAACATCTTCCTACAAACTTCTCTGAGGATCTGCAAGAGCTGATAAAAGACACACTTCAGGTTAATCCAGCAGATCGTCCGTCTGTCAGTGAGATCCTAATGAGGCCCTTTATCATCAAACACCTTAGAGAAATGGTGAGTTTGCTTACTAATGTTTAGTGACCCACTGCTCTGTATATCTTGCCTCTCTTGTTTAACACAGCTGATTTAAATAACCAGCCTGTTAGCAGAATAGACCAAGTAGGAACCATGCTCAGATCAACATATTCCCGACATAGGCCCCTGGACATCGGTTAAACTTTAATGTTAGTTCACTTAAAAATAAATTCTGCACTACACCTCCGTTTGCAGCAGAGATGAGGCAGAAGTTTGAAGGGCAATTTAAAGTCTGCATGATTTGAAGCTGTGACCATTTATTTTTGTTTTCATATCGTGACGAAGTTTCTAGAGAAATGGAATATTAAATGAGCAAACAGTGGGTGTGGCTTGTTTCTACTGCGAGCTGATTGGATGTAGTAAATTAGAAAAGATGGGTATGTGGAAAGTTATTATAACCGAACAGACTCCTCCTGCTCACCATTTCTGTTCAGAATGTAAAAATTGACAGCTGGAGGAGCGTGGTTAAGTATGTTAGCCCCGCCCAATACCTTAGCCAGATGCAATCTGGGAATTTAATCAAAAACAAACAGAAAGTGCAAGGGCAAACTATTTTCTTTTTTTAATGACACTCACAGATGAGTTTCTTACCTCAACACTACGGTAGCAGCTAACAAAACGAGTTAAAACAAATACAATTAGCTTTAATTTCATTTGTACTAAGAGATTTGCATAGAAGTCACATCTTGCACACTTTGAATTGAATGTGCTTCTTTTAAACTGGATGTCCACTTTGCAGAGCACTAATGCTCAAATGGAACAAACCTGTGTAGCGGTTAGAGAAAAAACATGAAATGTGCAGGTCCAGGATTAAGAACTGCTGGTTTAGATTATGTAAGACAAAATCAATATATATATATATATATATATATATATATATATATATATATATATATATATATATATTGAATGAGTCAATTTTTTCTCAGACACTAGCACTGATTTTTAGGAATTGAATGTTCATTTAATGTTTTTATTTCTTTCCAGAGCAAAAAAACTGTAGAAGAGCTTAATAAGAGTCTAGATGAGCTGAGAACACTGGCTGATGATTTAGAGAAGATCCACTTCAACACAACAGTCGGCAGTCTGTCAGGAGGAGTGATAGGACTGGTTGGAGGAATCTTATCTGTGGTGGGACTTGCTCTGACTCCATTCACACTCGGAGCATCTCTGATAGTGACAGGAGTGGGAATCGGTGTAGCAACTGCTGGTGGTGTTGCGTCTGGTGTGAGCAACGTGACAAAGATGGTTAATCAGCGTTCAAACCGGCAAAATATCAAAATGATCATAACATTGTTCCAGGAAAAAATCAACTCTACAAGCTGCTGCATCCAAAACATAAAAATAGCAGTGGAAACTCTAAAGAAGGAGCTTTCCACAAACAGGGAGACATTTCTCAATGGCACAAGTGCTGGAGCTCGACTTGGACGAGGACTGGGAGGAATCGCTGAGCTTATTCGTGTAATTGAAGTCGTTAATATTGGAAAAATTGCAGCTCAGGCCGCAAGAGCTGCTCGTGCAGCTGAAGCAGCCACCGGAGTTTTATCTGCACTTTTTATTATTGTTGACGTCTTCTTTGTTTTTCTTGACTCTAGAGAAATTCACAACATTCGCAAATATAAAGCCTTAAAAGAAAGTCAACAAAAATCTAAATCAGCCAGCAACCAAACCAATAACAAAAACCGTGAAAAAACAAGCCAGTTGCTGTCAAACACTCAGGAAGAAGAACTGAAGTCAGAGGCCATAAAATTTGTATCAAAAATAAGGGAGACAACAGAGGAGCTTCAAACTGTTCTGGATACACTACAAGAAGGTCTGAGCTGCAATTTTTCCAATGAGAACAATGAGCAAGTACAATGAGAAGTAAACTCAGTCATAAACAGAGAAAACAAATGATCAGTTTTAAAATCACTGTTGTTCGATTTAATTGATTAAATTTTGATTTAAATGGCTGTTGTTCGATAAAGTGTCAGTGCATATTTTGGTCATTGGATTTCTCTTTTAGGAACAGATAATAAAAAAAAAATGGAAATAGAAATCAAATGACGGCTTGTTTTTCATTTTTTAATATGCATAACAAAAACTAAAATCACAAAACAAAAAGGGCCATTTTTTAAAATTTCCAAGACCAGATATGCCTACTCATTCATGGAGACACAATTCACACACAGGCTACTATATGTGAACTTATAAGTGAAGATATAAATATCTCAAAAAGCTCAATTTAAGTTAATCATCTTACATTTTCAAAAAAGCACACAAACGTCAAGCTCATGATGATTGCTTGAATGAGTGTCCTCACGAGATCTTCAGCATCTCTCTCCAGCCTGCTTACAGCAAAACAGTGAATTACTTTCCATGAAAAAGAACTGTATTGTACCTTTTTTTATCTTATATGACTTTAAACATTGTTAATTAAAGACATGTTTCTAGTGAGGTTTGTAAAACACACCGTTTTAATATAATACCCATGTCAATAAAGGCTTTTTAACTTTTTTCTCATAAAGAAAATAAATTGAATGAATTATTAATTTGCTTGGATTTATTTTATAGCTTGTGGTAGTAAAATAATATTCTAATACAGTTTGCTGTAAGTTGAAGCAGATCTGGATATGCCAGCACAAGTAATTAATTGTATAGCAGTGGTTTGTTCTGTAGACAATACAAAATGAAATATTGCTTAAGGGGATATTGACCTTAAAATGGCTTTTCGGAAAAAAACTTTTAGAGGAAATTTTACAATAATTTGTCAACTATTTGGAGAAAAAAAAAAAGAGAAAAATTCACCTTTACACTCACACACACACACACACACACACACACACACACACACACACACATATATATATATATATATATATATATATATATATATATATATATATATATATATATATATATATATATAATTGGCTTTCAAACTAGTCACAATTTTATCATGAAACAAAAAAAATTTGCTTAAATGTTATTGTGATTTAATGTAACGTCATCACTGTAGCTGCTTAATGTTAAACAAAGATCAGTTCAAAAGATTTTAATTTAAAAAACAAAGCTTTTACTAGGTCTTCATCTGAACATGAGTGCTCTAAAAATGTAAGTAGAAACCAATGACTGTAAAAAATATGGACGACGCGACAGCCCTTTTTCCCATTGAACGCCTTGAGGGCAAAACGCCTGCTTGACGGGCACAAACTGTCGCAAAAGACTGCTGAAATTGGAGCCAGACATGCGCAGAAGGATTGTCTGATGGAGCCAGAGGAGGAGCCGCGAAAATGAGCAGAGTCGAGCTTCCAATCAAACGCTTTATGTAAAATCAACTACGCCCCCCGAACTTCTCAGCATGTGTTTGCTGTCATATCAACACAAATGGATGTAATAACGTTAACAAATATGAGGGTTTTATATATTCAATCGCGCCAGCTCCAGGCCGCAGCGCATAACTTACTCGCGGCGTCGCGGGCTGATTCCGGCTCGCATGCGGCAGCGCCGGCTCACTTGGCCGCCGCATCAGGCTCGATTGACTCGGACTGGAATTGGGTAGTGAGTCCAGGCATCCGGAGTAGGTCCAGCAGAGGTAACGTTAGTCAGTCTTAGCTCTAAGAGATAAGTCTCCGGCAGGCGAGAATCTAGCCGGAACTGTGTTTTGCTATCTGGGTGGCTAGGCGTGTATCAGCAAACTAATAAAGCCCGAAAAAAGCCCTGACCTTAGCGAATAAACAGTGTTCCACCAGGATCATGTATGTCAGAAACTATAGTTTACTGCTGAACTCATTTTGTCATGGTAAAATAACACAGAAATCGAATAATAACACTTCAGTCTCCTGCCGAAGCTCAGACGCGCTGCTTTGAGAAACTGTCAATCACAACTGTCAATCACGATGACACGCTCAGCATTAAATTACTGCTAAAAACAAACTGTTTACAAAAATGAAGATCTGCACCTATTTCAGCACAATAACCAGTGCCTTAATCCACCAGAACCATCTTTCGGGACATTTTATTGCAAGTGTAATATTTTTTTTTATTTGGGCTCAAGTCTCCTTCATTAACACGGAGGAGGCGGGCTTTATGACTTGTACTGCAGCCAGCCCCCAGGGGGCGATCTAACGGCCGAGACCCTCACTCAAACGTAGGCTTGCGGCACACTTGGTAGAAACATAAGGTGTATGAGGCGCAAACTATGCTGACACTCACTGTTGTTGATGGCTAATGTTAGAATCTGTTCTTGTCCTAGATACTACTGACATGTCTCCACCAAGTTGTTTGATTGGCATTCTCATTTTTCCACCTCAGCAAACCATTATCATAATTGTATAATTAATATTACGTATTAAGTATGATAGTTAATCATTCAAATCGTAAATACAATTTATTTTAAATTCATTTAATTAATTATGACTGATTTTAAATTCATTTTAAATGCATACTAAATTCATACATAAATGGATTTATTTTAAAATTGTATTTTAAAATGTACAAATCAGTTTAAATTCCATTAAAATCAGTCGTATTTTCGATTTGAATATGTCACTTTTCTTGTGTTGTTTTGCTGTGCAAATATAAACAAATTTACACATCTTAAAATGTTCATTACATTTTTACTTTAAGTGTGTACATCTTAACCCTATAAAGTCTACTGTGTCATATTGGATACACAAAATACTCGAAAGTAAACAAAAATAGCATTAGATGAATCATGCGAAAATATATCTATAATATTTGTTGAATCAATGAGCTTTGTATACTTAACATTTTGACCATGCAGCATAAAAATTATCTTTCATCATAAAGCTAAACATTTTAATGCCGTCTATTTAAAAAAATATATATATTAGGAGATATGAATGAAAGCAAATGTTTAAAAGTAGACGCACAGTCATCAGTACATGTTGCTTTAAGGTTATGGAATGAAGCCATTAAAAGTGTGTATGTATGTGTTGCTGTCGAGTGATCAGGGTGACCCACGGCGCATGCCTTGTGCATTGCTGTGCATTTATACTTCTGTGTGCTGTTTCTGTTGCTCTGCAATTACACATCTGAAACGCTAGCTGGCAGTGAGGTTTTTATGTTCCTCTGTGTCGAGTTTCTTGTTTTTATTTTTGTTTTTCCACTACCTGTCAAGCTATTTAAAAGGAAGACACATCAAAGGAGTTTTAACTGGATTCCACTCATCTATTTGTTGCATCATAAATGCAGCAGAAAGGCAAAAAGGTGAAAAACCTTAAAAATACAAAAATACAAGATATGTAATTAAACTGCAAATAAAATTGTATACTGTATTCAAACATTTGTGATTTTTGTCTGAATTTTCACAAAGGATTTACAAATATTATAATGAATTAACACTTGCTAAAGCACAATCAACAATACAGTTAAATATACTGAACTTAAATATTTAGTTTTAAGACATTTGAATGAAATTGGATTAGATATGCTATTGCAGCGATCAGCTTATGTGCACGTGATAATCTCATGCATGCATATTGTTACAACCGGCTCAAAGTTGCAACATTAGAGAGACAATACGAACCAGGTAAATTGAAAAGAGAAATGATTTATTAACAAAACGTATAATTACCAAAAGTATTTAAAGCAATCAAAGTCAGTATAGGTGAAAGTCAGTAGTGAAAAGCATGTGTGTGGAAGTGTACTGAGCTCATGATCCAAACACAAAAATAATTCAAAAGCGCCAAGCAGAGACGTCCGGCTAATCGAGCTCTCCCAGACAGAATGCCGGACTCCTTATAAACACCCCACGATAAGTCTCAGGTGGGATGACCCACCCACCAATCTGCAATCATGCATGCAGGCTCTGCAAAAATCACACAAAAAACACACACATACAAACAGGTCCCACATGGGACCTAACAATATGAATTGCGAAAAAAAAAAAAAAACATCTCAACGTCACTCTGATAGCACTCAAGTGATGACAAAATAACCAAAACTAAACATTTCTGCTTCATAACATCTTCTAGTTTCCTAATAAACTATTTGTAACTTCAAATAATTAAGCTGCAAGCAGATAAGCACTGTTGGAGCACGTTGTTCTCTGTGCTCAATTTGAACTCAGATGCTGCTTCACAGTTGATTTGCCCTCAACTGCTGACATCCCAGTCGCGATTTTCATGTAATTAACAAAGTAAAGTTCTCACCGGCTGCAACTCCGGGACTTTATGATGGTTTTTGAGTGTTGTGCTTTTTTTTCTTTTGCTAAATTTTGGCAGAGATTCTGTTCTGGCTAAGTTTCAGTTTTCTTTTTGTCTCACGTGAAAGCCGAACTACTCCATGTCCTTCCGCCTCTCCCTCCGATTGGAGGATGGATTTTTTTCTCCTTTTGTTTTAGTTTGGAAGAACACTACCTTAATGTACAAGTAGCTCAAACGCGCTCATCCAGAGGTGGGATCTAATGGACGTGCAACAACTTTAATCATAAGGTAAACACAAAACAACAGTTTCCATCTAGAGCTCCAATGGGTTCGCATGGCTCTTACCCCCGCCCACACTCGTCAGCGATACACATCAGCAACAGCCACAGTAAGGGGTATGCAACCGCACGAAGGCTGCGCCTGACCATACTCGTGCACTTGACACAAAAGTATAAATCAGCCTTTAGAAGTTTAGTGGTTGATGCAATGCACATAGCCTAGCTCAACAGCCTAGCTCAACAGGGGTCTGTTTAATAAAAGTCATTTAGAAAAGTGAGGATTAACGTCAAATACCTCACTTCAATAGCTGCATTTCCACTATCGGGCCAGTACGAGCCAGGGCTTTTATGGAGCCGGGCCATGCCAATCGGTCGGGAGCTTGAGTAGTGAGGCCGAAACCATGTCGTGTTTCGATTGTCGGGCTAGCAGCTTGCAGCGCATCATGCAAACACCGCCCCCAGAACGTCCCCCGAATCAAACGTCACACAACCCGCCCACTTTAGTGGGAATCAGGCAGATAAAGCACACCATATCATCATCAGGACATGATTAAAATGAAGACAACCAAAACAAACAAATGACACATTACTGTACAGCAGTACATTATATGTATAT